ATAGTTAACGACATTGAACTGAAATAAATGGCAATTAAACTGTTTAAAGAATAGTTAACGACGTTTAACTGTAGTAAATGGCAATTAACCTGTTTAAAGAATAGTTAACGACGTTTAACTGTAGTAAATGGCAATTAACCTGTTTAAAAAATAGTTAACGACATTTAAATTCCGTTAGCGAGTAGTAAATGGCAATTAAACTGTTAAAGAAATAGTTAAAAGGAAGTAGCTGCTTAGTAAATAATAATTAAATCGTCGAAGAAATAGTAAATAACAAGCAATGACTTAATTGCATTTAATTCGTTTTAAAAAATTAGCTTATAATAATTAACTGCAGTGAGCAACACATTCATTCCAATTATTAACAGTTAAAGTAATTAATGAAGTAAAAATTTCATAAACGATTAACGAATTTCTTTCGGTTAGTTAAAGAAAATTAATTACATTAAAGGAAATATATATATATATATTAATTACCTTGTTAGTTAATATAATGCTTCCTGAGTCATTCATGTTGCTGCGAGTTACTGAAACACTTCTCTAAGCTACTATGAAATATCTTGGAGCCTTAAATCAATATCTTGGTGGCTCCATCTAGAGATGCTTATGGATCACGTTTTACATTGAAATTTAATTGAGAAAATTATGAATACAATTAAATATTTGTAAATAACTCCTATGTTTCCAGACTTATGGGACACGATGTTTATCATAAATCCTCCCGATGTTTATCATAAATCCTCACGATGTTTATCATAAATCATAAACAATTAAATGCTTTATTTACACGAAGATCCATAAAAGACCTCAGTTACTTGACACTTTAAACTAAACAATTGAGATTTAACAAGATTCTTCATCAATTTTCTTTATGAAAGATTATGTCTAATGAAACTTGACATATTTTAAATAATATATAACTTAATAAAATGAGAAAATAATTAAATTTTTTACTTTAAATTCTTTACATACTTCGAACCTCATTAATATTTTAGTATTTTATTTAAAAAATTAAATTCTGTTAAGTAAGATTTAATTTAAGATTAGATAAGAGTTTTTTTGTGTGGGTTGGGTTCAGTTAGTGGGATAAGTTCACACAACACAGAGTTTTCTGTCTCCTAAAAGGACTTTTAAATGTTTTGTAACACGTGTAACATCTAAACAGACAATAGTTACACTATTTAGGTGTTACACACACGAAAAAAGGGAGGAAAGTTCACATTGGTGAGACGTGAACCCTCGACCAGCTACCACTTTTCTACATTTCTTATGCATTTTAAATTAAATTTATGGTAATTTTCATAAATTATCTTCATTTTTTTATTAATTTATAAAGATTTTGAAGTATTTTTGCTGTTATTCTCCTTCCATTCTTCTCCATTTATCACTACTACTTTCTCTGAATAGGAAATTACATAAACTTTAACTTCATTAATTCTCTCTTTGAAGAATATTTTGAAAAGTTTTAATAAATTTAATATTATTCTTTTTTTATTCACAATATCAATTGAATTATTAACCTTTATTTTACTCTTCGAGTAAAGTTAATTGCATTTCAAATTTCTTGTTACGTCGTGAAGGGAACGTCAAGAGAATGCATCATTTTTCAACATTTTTCACAATAAATCAATAGAAAAATATATAAATTTAAGTTATTTACGACATAAAGCAATGATTTAAAGCAATAAATTCATTTAGAATAATATTTTAAATCATTTTTAATCATTAAAATCATTGATTAAAGAAGAAATCCAGCAACGAGTTGCGTAACTTTCCCCGCAAGAAAAATTTAAAATTGTTTGTGGTGCCATCTGTTATGATATTTTATTAAATAAACTTTTTTATATTATTAATTATAAAATGGCAAGCTTAATTTTGAGGGTAGAGAAAAGTTTTATAAGAAGTTGTAAATGTTAATAAAGAGTGATGTCTTTATTAAGTCTGACCATACTCGATATAGGTAACACGACCTTCTGTATCTCCCCATCCCTTTGACCTTTAACCACCAAAATTTAACAGCACCAATACTTCTAACATACGAACCTTCCTGCAAAATTTCACGAATTTTTGTCAAGAAGAACAGGAGTTATTAAACTTCAAAGTGGGTGAACGGAATTGTATCTAATACATACACGATTGGGAGCTTTCTGACCTCATAAATTACAAGTTACGTGATGGAAAAAACTCTCTAATAGTCTCATTTTGCCAAATATTAATTCAAAACACTTCAGTTTATGTTCTATAAAGTCTTTAACAATGAAATTGTTTATACAGTCGAACCTCCTGATAATGGCAGCTGATATATTTTATAAGATTTTAAATAATTATATTATTAATTTTAATAATCAAATCACGAATTATACAAAATTAATTTATATTTAAAGTATATTTATTATGATTAATATTATTATTTATGAAATTAATTCATTTATCTCGAGTAATAAACGTAAACGATAGCGATGAAGAGATTCATAAATTATTTAAATAATTAATTTATTATTATTGATAAATACAATAATAAAATAAATAATTAAATTAATAAACTTCATTATTCGTTTAATAATTTATAAAATTAATTTTAAGTTTAATTAATATTCGTAATTAAAAGTAAACTTTAAATCTTTCATGTAATTATGAAACTTTCACGTAATTAGTATCATTTGTAAATAGGTTTTTTCTCTATGTGCTTTATAAAAATTGTAACTTTTTGTAATAAAATAAATATTTAGAAAGCCCTCCTATTCTTTCTATATTCTATTTGCTTAATTTTCTAGTTAAAAACGAATAGCAGGTAGAAACGTGTAGTACCCCAGTAGACCCCCCCTATAACACGGTAGATAATTCCATGTTATATGAATTCCGTGTTGTACGAGTCACTTAGATTTTATAAATACGTGTGCCGGGCTGTAAACGGCTCACGTATTTGTAAAATTCCAGAATATTTTTAAGATTTTTTTACAATAATGCATACAAAATATTCTTCAAACAATAGCCATTTATTACTTCTCTGGATGTGTCTGTTAATTATTCAGAGGTTTGAATGCATTTAAATATTCCACATTTTATAATATTTATGTTTTCTTATCATCATCATCCTAAGCTGAAATGGTACCAGAATAACGATTGCAATTCATCCAAACAGGTATATCATAAGGTATAAAAGAGTCATTTGCTTCGATTTTGTCATCAAGAAAAGAAAATAATGCAGATTTTGATAATGTACTGCAAAAAGAATATAGCTTAAGGTATTATATACTAATATACTTCGTCCATTATTCAATAAACCGCGAGTAAATTCCAGCTTTAACAGTTCGATCATTGTAAATCTAAGCATCTTACACTTCTATCTTATAAGTAAAGATGCTTACATTTAAAATTAAATTGCATCATCAATAATCTTAATTACTCCAAACTTCATCACTTTTTCATCTTATACAAAGTGATGATGATGATGATGATGCTTAGATTAATGGATGGAGAGGCATTTATATCGGATTAGAAATACAAAAAACGTCTAGAATTTAGTATTTTACATACAATCGAACCTCTGAACAACGTCCACTGATGGAAACCTTTAAAAAATGGACGTTGTTTGAAAGTTACTCTGCACGTACTTCAACAAGAAACGTGCCTGAGAAAAATGGTCGTTGTAGAAAGGTGGCCATGTTTACAGGTTACTTGTATTCCATTTACACTTTTTAATATTGTTAAATTAAGAAAATTGAAGTGAAAATGTAAACTTTCTTGATTTTTTCTCTATCTGAACAGTTATAAAAATTTCTTTTATTTTATTTTTTTCTGGAAAAATAAGTAAACTGGAAGAGAAGAAAGCACAATTTTTTTGTTTTTTTTCCAGTTTTTCTATTGATTTTCTGTCATTTTTTTTCTTTTACAGAAACGTTTCCTTCTCTGTTATTTATGACAATTTTTGACTTAAGTAGTATATTGAAAAATCTGGATAAAACTAAGCTTTTCCTTTTATTCGCATACAAATTCCATACTTTTCGAAATAACTTGTATAAATCACAAAAAGTACTTTAAATTATTAAAATATTTACTCAATTATATGCACATAATTAAGAATAATCCTACATTAACCCAATTTTTTCACGTTAAATAGTCGTAAGAAATTCGTAAAAAAGGAATTTTGTGAACTAAATGATGATTTTAAAACAAAACTTTATAACTTTTTAAGGTTGTATTCATTAATTAGATAATTATATCTTTATTAAACAAAACTACAACGTGTAATTTCTAGTATAACATGGAAATTACAAAAGATTTTAATATATATATATAGTATTTTTACCTGTCTAATTTTATAATATTCATAGGTATCGAAGCTTAAGCTTCTTTTCTATTTTGTATCCTGTAAGTTATTGATTGCATGAGTTTTATCACTTTCATAGTTTTCTTTCAGATACTTTTCAAATTGTTGCTGACGATGCTGTTCTTTCGAATTGAAAGAACAGCAACACCTACTTCATCTACATCCTCTACTTTATTTCTTAAGCTTTATTTTCTTAATCTTTTTGCATTGTATTCTATCTTATCTAGTTTTTTTTTTTTGCTTCCTTAAAACTTTCTTCTATATTTTTAAAAATCTATTCTGCTTATAAGAAATAAGATAAACTATTAAATTTTATTCATTACCAGTTGATTTCTAGTACAAAATTTTAAACCCTCCCTTCCCATTGTTTACAATGCTGTAGTTTTTTCCACCTTCTCTTCCATTTATTAACAGAATTTAATACTGTTATATTGATTTCTTAATTAATTTTAAGAGGTAAATACTATATATATATATATAGTGTTTCTCAGTTTCTATGTCTCATCTTTCAGCATCACTTCTGAAACGTTTAGCCAGAATTTTCATCAATTTTTTCTTTAAATTTATGCTTATAAACACCATTTTCGATTGAATTAATAAGGATGTAACACTTCAGAATCTTTTCCAATTGAGGATTTTATTTAAAAAACCTGTATAAAGATAACTTATCCACTTTTGGTGACTTTTGCTGGTTTATTGATGTAAGTAGTTGCTAGCTCCTGCGTTAAAATATTGATTTTCTTACTAGAATCTGTTCGTGAGATGCTGTTTTGTAAAAAATTATACTTTAGATATTAATTTTTTTTAATATACACGCTTAAATTCCTTGAAAACTCATCAGATATGATCTTTACGTATCAAGAGATACAGTTGTAAAATATATAGGATTAAAGATAAAAATAGGATAACGAGGATGAATTTTATAAAGTATTTAAGTTAAAATTATCCTATAATTTATATGATAATTAAATCCTTAATTATATATTATTAAATGTCTTTTATTTGACTTATTCTTTTGTTAAATATCATTATTATTTCATTACATTTCTTTGTCACTTGAATTTTTATTACAAAAACTGGTAAAAAATTTATTTTAACGTTTGTAATTTATTATTAATAATCATATTTATAAACTATTTAATTATTTTCTCTTAAACTTTTTATATTATTATTATTATTATTATTCTGAACAAACTTTTAAGTTATAAGCTGAAAGAGATGAAGG